CTTAGAAGAAAGCTTGTTAAGAGTCTGCAAAAGACTTGAAACTGGAGCAGAGGTTCACCTTCCAGCAGCACAACAACTTAACATAACAACTAAACATACAGCCAGAGCTACAATGGAATGTTTTAGATCAAAGCATATTCATGTGTTAGAATGGCATAAGTCCAGACCTAAATCCAATTGAGAATCGCTGTTCACAGGTACAATCTGACAGAGCTTGAGCTATTTTGCTAAGAACAGGCAAAAATTTCACTCTAGATGTGCAAAGCCTGTAGAGAAATACCAACAACTGTAATTGCAGGTGTTTCTACAAAAAGTACTAACTCAGGGGAGCTGAATACAAATGCACGTCACTTCAGATATTTGTAAAAAAAATAAATTTACGTTTTTGGTTGTAACATGACAATGTGTAAAATTTCAAGGAGTATGAATACTGTTTAAATGCACTGTATATTCTGTCTTTACATTGGAAATATTACAGATGGCTATAGTAAGATGCTCCATTACAAACATGTACAGGGAGGGGAGACAAGAGGTATCCTTGTCAGGTACCATTTTTAACTGCAGAAAGGTCTACTATTGGCTCACTCTCACTTGGCTCAAGGCACAATTCGTTGTAAAATATTTCTCCTGGAAGCACCATCCAACCCTGTCAAACGCCTTTTTTTTTTTACATCTATACCCCTCTAACACTCTGTAAACACCTGGAACTGAGGAGAACAGTTGCTAGAATTGTAGGAGAGGAATGTTGTCCCATTTTATTTATTTCAAGTACTTATATAGCGCTGTCAATTTACGCAGTGCTTTACACATATGTACATTCACATCAGTCCCTAACCCTCAAGGTGTGTACAATCTAAGGTCCCTAACTTACATTCATACATACACATATTAGGGCCAATTTAGACAGGATCCAATTAACCTACCAGCACATCTTTGGAGTGTAGGAGGAAACTGGAGCACCCGGAGGAAACCCACACAAGCACAGGGAGAACATGCAAACTCCATGCAGGAGGCGCCATGGTCGGGAATCGAACCCATGACCCATTTACTGCAAGGCAGATGTGCTAACCACTAAGCCACATTTTGGCCTGATATAAGATTCTAACTGCTTAACAGTCCTTGGTCATATTTTGCGATTCAAGATGCAATAAATATTTTCAATTGTGAAAAAGGTCTGAACTTTTTAAGCACCCAGAAGCTTCATCTATGACAACATAGCTTTTGTAGTAGCAGTATGTGGTTTAGCAATATCCTACTGACATATGCAAGGCCCTCCCTGCAAAGGACATCACATGGATGGGAGCATGTGCTGCTCTAAAACATGGATACAGTCACGGGAAGAAAAAAAAAAAAAAAAAAAAAAAACACTGGACAGAATTGGCACCTTCTCAAAACAAACACACACTAAAAAGTTAAAATAAGCACTTCTTGAAATTATATACTGTATATAATTTTTAATAAAAAATTAAGTCATGGTGCAATGAATCAAGTTCGGTTTTTCAAAATTTATTGGGCAATGTTGAGCCACAAATATTACAAGCTAAAAATGAAAAAAACAAAAAACACCTTTCATAAAAAGGGGAAGAGTGGGTTAAAATACAAAACAAAAAAATCATGTTTACATTAATAAGCGTTGCAGAAAAAACAAACAGTAACACAGCTACCTTTGTTTTTTTTTTTTAATTTTTACAAGTATCCTACAAAAGCCAAAATGGCAGAAAATGGTCTGTTGAGTAGCTGTAAAAGCATCTGACATTTTTTTGAATACTGAAATATTAAAGGATGACAATACGTTCATGTAACCTAATGGCTTCCTCCCACAAACTACCTAGACCACTGTGTACTTCTCAGACCAGCAGGCGACCCAGTGCAGAACTACGACACAGCGTATGCATGGCGCCCCCCCCCCCCCCCCCCAAAAAAAAAAAAAAATGTAAACCTGCAGGCTTAAAATAAAAAAGGATTGCTTTTGTGTTAGAGCCTATAGAAAAAGAGAAAGCACATGCACCGCACAGTGTTGCCCACTGGTGTGAAGCAGGTACAAGATTATAGGTTTCATGGGGGGAGGGAAAGGAAGGTCAACTAAAAAGTACAGTTACCCATCCAGTTAACGGGGGGAGGGGAAAAAAAAAAAAAAAAAAAAAAGTCATCCCATGATAAGCATCAGTTCAGTCCTAAATTAAAAAACAAAACAAAACCAATCTTTCCCTAGGTTTACATTCCCCATGCAGCGCTCATGCTCATGTTGCTAGACATTCCGGCCATCCCATTTACACCCATTGATCCTTGTCTTCCGCTGCCATAGTAATTGTTGTTTAGTCCACTTTGGTTACCTATAAACAAAAACATAAAAGACTTTAGACATAAAAATTGGTCTAAAAAATTAGATTCTTCTGGTATGCAAATAATGAAAACAGCTTCTATGACAACACTGCTTATGAATCATCACTCTCCTACTGGCAGCCTTAAAAAAAAAAAAAAAAAAAAAAAGTACAAAATTTGTGATTTGTTTTCCTTTATGGGTATTCATGTATATTCTTGCTGTACTACTAAAGTCATGGACCAAAGAACAATGAAGGCCCAAATCCTTCTGTACATATGCCCACCCCAAGTAAATAAAGGATAAAGTGGTAAGGGATCCGTTTCAAAAGCATGCCTGCACAAAAACTGTCCAAACAGCAATTCCAATATTTTTTGGCTGATGTTTTAGGAGAGCTGATGCATTCCTATATGCATAAAATATAAAAATTGGATTTTAATATTTATAGGTCACATCAGAGATTGTTGATCTAGAGAATTTCCCCTCCTGGGAGGGGGTGGAAAATCAGGAAGACGGTTCACTCCCCTGCTGGAACAAATTGGATCATGCTGTATTGGGTTTCTGTGCCTTCCTCTGTGATATACACAATCTTATACCCACAGTTGAGCCAATCATCAGATATTGCCCATATTGTGTGATACACACTTTTTTTAGAATTAAAATCCAACAGACTATGTACATTAGATTTGGTATTCTCCCCTCTGGAGTGATTTTAGATGCCGTTGGTGGTTGGACCAGTGGAGAACAGAGAGGGAAATATCTAATACTGCCAATACCCTACAAAACCCAAGGGTCACTAGTTTTGATGAGATTTGTAATTTGCATACGGTGGTGGTTTGGAGTGACGGGGGCCATTTACACTTTTATTCTTTTCACAGATGATTTGGGTTAACCCACTATAATATTTATGCAAGTATAATTTGCATCTTTAATATTTGAGTGTATAAAAATTACTACACTATGGTTGTGGTTTTCCCCATTAATACACTTTGAAGGACTCATTGTGGATGAGCATCTAGAAAAGGTAAGTGGAAGAGCTAGAGTGACATCTGGAAGCCTTTGTTTTTACATCATGCTGGCTACAACCTATTAAAGTATAAAAGGTCTTAGCTAGTGAGAGTTTAAAGCAGTTACAAATCCTGTAGCTGCCCACTTTTAATAATAGGGCACTTACCTGTCCATGGATCCTGCGGTCTCCTCATCCCAAGACAATTCTTCAATCGGCTCTTGGTGCCACCATCTTGACTAAAGGAACCTAGCAGTGAAGCATTGCAGTGGCTTCATCACTGGTTTCCTACTGCACATGTGTGAAGCGTGCTGTGCTTTGTGGAAGGGCCCCAGAGGGCCTTGGCGGGGGTGGGGAGGGGTATAGTTTGGATGGGTTGGGGGCGAACTTCTGGCCAAGTGTGGCAGCAGAGGGGAGGGGGAAATAGAGGCAGAAAAGCAGAGCTTCCACTTTAACTTTGCTGGTCAACTGTATGAAGGATTCATTAAGTGGTCAGAATAGACATATGCGCTCAATAACTTTATGGAGACTGTTTATATATATATTTTTTTTTTACTTCGGATGTTGTCTCCAGTTTTGGGTTGTTAGAGAACTTGTAATAGTATAGGAGGACAAGTTTATTCCAGCTGCAGGAATAGCCGATTTACGGTTTGGGGTATTACCACCCTAAGCACTGGATAGTAATAGAAGCCTTGTTGCTGTTGGTCTGAATAGTTATCTACACAGAATGACCATTCCATATAGTACTACAAGTTCAAGACTTATGTCACTCACAACTTTTGGAACCGATTTGTTGTAACTGTGCTTGTTTTCTTTGGTCATTTGTAGGCAGCTACAGATTTGCTACGGTTATCTATGTTGTCCTGTCTTGCATTTCAACATGGCGGATACTAGCACATAGGAAACAGTCCTGCTGTCCCGATGTCTCCAGGTCACTATCAACTAATTTTGATGCTGTGACCCCAAGGTGCCCAACACGGACAGCCTGAAACTTTGCCCTACACATCTTCAAAACCTTTACTAGCTCCACGGGTTGTGGCTCCCCTCAACTTTATCCCAGGAAGATCTCATCACACTACTAAAGGATTTTATGGACTATATAGGAGTACATGACCTGATGTGTCAGAGTGCAAAAACCACTATCAGTTACATTTCCCCAATTTAAGTGCACAAAAACAGTAATTACTGCACTAATTTCAGCTTCCTTGTGTATTTGCAATTAATATTGAATTGGATGGACTTTTTTCAAACTTAAACCTTTGTAACATTTTATATAAATAAGATTAAACACTTGTTTTCTTTCAGCAGTTCTGGTAATGCTTTAGACCAGGGGTGTCAAACTGGCGTCCCTCCAGCTGTTGGGAAACTACAAATCCCATCATGACTCTGCCTTTGGAAATCATGCTTGTAACTGTCAATCTTGCAATGCCTTATGGGACTTTTAGTTTTGCTACAGCCGGAGGGCCGCCAATTTCACACTAGTGCTTTAGACAGACATTCTGGCAAAAGGGGATATAGGGAAATATTGCACAATCCACTTATTTTAAAAACAGCTAAAAACCCAGCAAGGTTTCTTTAAATTGTACAAAGACTTGTATACAAAATTGTACAAAAAAAAAAAAAAAAAAAAAAAGTCATAATGCATACTCTACAAACTCATATGCAACCCATAACCTAAAGTGTCATTAAAAAGTCAAAAGAGTAATATTTACCATAACCACTTAAACCAGCTTGATTTCCATATCCTGCACCATAGCTGCCACTCAAAGCCTGGGATCCAGGGCTGCCATAATTTGACTGTGTACCTGTTTTGAGGTGGGGGGAGAAAGTTAGCAGTTTCCCTGAAAGACTACACAAATGGTTTTCGTTAAATGCAAGTGAAGGACAAACTGATTTAAACACACAATGTCATTTTACAAACCAGTTCCATCACAACGCCACTAAGTTTTTAGCATGCAGGACATGTCATTTGCCAGGTGTGATATCTTTATTTCTTGTCCTGAACACAACTGGGAAAACCCTAGGTATGAGCTCAACTTTCCCCATGCAAAAAATGCTACATATAATAAAGTTCACTAGGAAACCACTTGCACCTTCATCAGCCCCTAGTACATTCTACAAAAAAGGTACAAACAGGAAACAATTCCAGGAGGGAGTATAGCACATGACAATGCCCTGAGTGTCCCCGGGACAGTGGAAAAGGGTCTTCAGTGTCTTAATATACCACCAATTAAAAAAGGAATAGCTGCATAGCTACTACAGATGTTAGCACAATAGGGATGGCAAAATTACAATTGTCTGCCATAGGAATGAACAGCAAAGGCACCGTACACAGGTATAAGTATGGGTGTAATTTTCTGAACGCAAAACTTGTACATTCCGGAAAATACAGCTATATACATTCACCTCAAAAGACAAGTTCCAGTGCATACAAGGAATGTGTATGTGTAAAGCGTATTTTGTAATTTATTCACACAAGGAGAATTAGAGAGCAGTTTAGACTCCCAGACACTGCAAACACACATGTATTTCATGTTGTATGCCAATGCGCCTTTAATTACAATTCGTCTGCATAAGCCCTGAATCAATAGCCATCATTAAATGGTACATTTGTCACTTTAGATCTAGTATCTGGAGCAAGGATTTTCTGATACATACCAAGTCCACTCATCATCTGTCCACCATATGCACCACCAGATCCACCAGCCGTTGAATTAAGGAACAACTCAACATATCTGTGTTCTAAAAGGGAAGAAAAAAAAAAAAAAAAAAAAAAAAAAAAGGTTCATATGCAAGTTTACAATTTTTTTAGAAGTATGTTTGTTTTGGGGAAGAGGGTTTCTAACTAAACACCCTAACATAAAACAAAAAAGTATCCTTGAACATTCCATAGGTCATATGGTCTGCAGCACAAAACACTTCAAGCAGAACCACTCAGCCTCCTGAGGCTGACTTCAACCCCTTATGCTGACATTTTTTTTTTTTAAGTTACAGCAACAATAAAATGATTAAAAAGGGAACCAATACACCACACACCTGGTAAAAGTGATCAAGCAGCTAATCCAACTAGTACAGGTTGAAGACTGGGCTTTTTTTTTTTTTTTTTTTTTTTTAAACAAAAAAAATTACAGCACAATCGTATGTGCCATTTTAATTTTTCAATAAACAGAACATTTGGTTTTTGACTAGTCTATGACTGGCCTAACAGGTTAAACATTTTTACAAAGTATTTGATTTGTAAACCACTATTGGTTAGCTTAACCAGTTACATGGCAAGCAATGCTGGTTTCGATTAAAATCTAGTATAGACCCTTTGATAAGGGGTGAATTTGAGTCATCCGAATGCCGTAAACAAAAAGGTCTCTTTTTCAGCAAAACTAAAAGCTGTAGTCACTTACGCATATTGGCTTTGTCTTTAGACATGGCTGCTACTGCATCCTCATGTGTTGCAAATTCAACATCTGCTTCTCCAGTGACTCTGCCATCTGCCCCAATTTCAATGTGAACTCTTACAGGATTCAAAGGAGAGAAGAACTAAAGAAAGCAGGATGGAAGGGGGGAGGAAAAAAAAAAAAAAAAAAAAAAGTTTATTTTTGGGTAGACCATATGGAACTAATTTAACAGCAATGCAAACAAGACCTATTCTTTCTAGGCCCAAATTATATGATTTTACTACAATTTTCAAAAGGGAAACTGAAAGCTAAAACAAAAACAAAAAAAAAAAAAACAAAAACAAAAAAAAAAAAAAAAAAAAAAAGAAGGAAGGACACAGCCTCCAAAACTTTGCAGTTACAGCAAATTTCAAGTGATTTTAAACAGGCATAGTTCAAGCACATCCTGAGAATGCCTACTGACCAGTGAGGCAGGTTATCAGCAATGGGACATTAGGAAATATGTAGGGAAGGGCCCCTTCTAGTGCCAGCACTACCTGGATTTGTGGAAGACTTGCATGCCAGAACACCCAGAACTAGGGGTCTGTTATAGGTTCCCACACTTTTTAACTGTGAATACTACACTTTCCTTCCCATCTATGGCTGTTTACTCACTGGATTAGCATCTATGGAGGGAGCCATGGTGGTCATCCATGTTAGACTCCAAACAGGTTTTCCTCTCCATCTCCACTACATGGGTGAGTGGAAGATAGAGGAAGATACCATTAAAGTGCCATATCAACCAACTTTTGTTGCCTCTTATTCCAGAAAATATACCACAAATATATTTGTACTACAGAGTGTTACAGCCATGAAGAATTTCACCTAGTCAACAGAGTGCAGTCTGTCCAAGTCTCAAACAGCTAGAAGGTACATGGAACAAAACAGATACGATTCCCCTAAACTAGTCAATGATTGCATTTTAAAAGCAGAATTGAACCTGAGCACCACAAACTGAGAACACTATTTTTAATATGCAAAGCAAACTCATCCATCCTTGTCTCAAGGTTTTTTTTTTTTCTCTAGAGAAGTCACAATGAAAAACACCCCCCCTAGCAATTCTAGCGGCACCATCTTGAAAAAGAACATACGATTCATTTAGTATTCACTTCCTGGAAATCATCTGCCCTTAGCTCAGGCATGAGGGTATGCTTAACCGAGTAGGAAACTTGCTTGCTCCCCAACAACCCCCCCCCCCACATTTGGGAACAGGAGTGGGTGAGGAGGAGAGGGGGGAGCAGGTACCTGATTTTGACAAGTACCCGCTCCTGGCTCAGTTCACCACATCGAAAGTTACCACCCCCCTTCCCCTCGCAGTCTTCTGGGACACTTCAGGAAAACCAGCTGTGACTTTACTTCCGGTTTTCCTTGACAGGAATGCAGAGGCTATTGAAGAACTAGCCTAGGTGACGATGGCGCTGGACCCCTGGACAGGTAAGTGTCCTTATATTAACAGTCAGCAGCTACAGTATTTATAGGGGGGATTTTTTTTTTGGGGGGGGGGGGGGGGGGGAGCCTGGAACTCATCTAAGAAATGTAGAGAAAAACAAAAAAAGTTTCTGTAAAAATATATTTTACTAGCATTTACTACCATTTGCTAGCAGTATGATTCAAAATAAAAATTTAGTGTTTAGTTCTGTCTTAGGTGTGCAGCAAATATTCTAACCTATCCAGAGTACAATGTGATACTCCTAGCAAGAGCCATTTGCAAAATAATTAGAATTGTACTGTACTTACAGTATAGATGTCTGTCTCTGTTGCCCTGTAAGGAAGGCCTCTCATATGAACACAGTGACCTGTTGTACTTTGAAAATTAGAACCATCTCCATACCTATGGTCAGACACTGTTGAGAGAAAACCATCCCCATGAAAACAAAACAAAAAAAAACCCCCCACCTAAACAAAGCCAACCAACCCACCCAGTCTCTGACATACCTCTTCCAAATCTTTGTTCTGTACCAAAACCATATTCATTATATCCATTGTACTCCTCATATCCACCATACCCTGCAAAAACAAACAAACATTCTGTATTAATACCTGTAGATTATGTGGCATAAGCGGTCATCATAAAACTAAGCATTCAATTAAAAACCTGGTTTAAATTGCACCTTATCTTAAATGTTAAAAGCAGTTAGCCATGATGGGATGGACGGAAATATAAGAGGTAAAATGGTTGTTTGGGGAGGGGGTTAGCAGGCCCATGCTCCCTCCATTATGAGAATTCTTGCCACATATCCAAGAGGTCTTATGATCCAAGCAAAAAGGAGAGGGTCAAATTCAAATCAGAACCACTGTAGGTCTCAAGCTATGTAGACAACACAAAAAAAAAAAGAAAAAACCCCACACATGGTTCTCCGATAGGTAAAAGTAATGGAGTACTTATATGCTGGGTTTTAACCTGTCGGCGCCGACAGTATACAAATATGCAGCAACTCGGCAGCTGGGTCTTGGACGCTGAGCAGTTGCATTATTTGTGTACCAAAAGCAAACATGTGCCGTGAGCACATACCCTGCATTTTCTGGCACCTTACAGAAAGGTCCCAATCATTACTTGCGATCAGGACCTTTCCGATCAAGTGACTGACAGCCAATCACTGCGATCACGACTACTGAAAACCTTCACAACCACTTTAGGTAGCCTACATCCACAGATCTGTGGCTAGTTCTCAAAGATGTTTGGAACAACCTGTTGGGAGTGCCTTAAAAAAACTGTGTGCAAGGTAAAGGGTGGGCATACCAAATATTGATTTGCATTTCTTGCATTCTTCATTTACAGCATTTTTTTTCACATCTGCCTAAAAAAGTTTGCACAGTACTGTACACACACTTTCCCCGAATAGCAATGAGTAGTGCTAGGAAAGTAACATGTTTAGTGGGTGCAAACTCCAAAAAACACTTATAAAGTTAACATCCATTGACAGAATCCTGCGCTGATGAAGTGCAAAAAGGGCAAATAAGGGCAGTGCACTTATCTATGTACCTTTGTTTGCACTGCAGTAGAAAATAAATCCAATGTGAGGATTTACCATCCAGTTTCTTTGGAATTTATATTTTTGGTTTATAAAGCTTTAAATACAAAATAGATTAGGAATACATTTAAACCTCTTTAGTTATACACATTTGGAGCACTTTGAGCAGTAATACATGTATGCAATGAGCTAGGACATAAAAACTGTACATGTACAGCAAGAACTCACCACCTCCATAGGCTCCACGCCTCATGCGATCAAATCCTCTCCCCATCGTGCTGTAGCCTCTCCCAACCCCTGGTCTGTCATAAGGTCCTGGGCGTTGCATGCCAAAGAGCTTCCTCGGAGGATCATAGTGTGTACGAACCTCCGCTCTACTACTCTTAAAAATCTCAATGTACCTAAATGGGATTTTGGGGGGGGGGGGGGGGGGGGGGGGGGTGGGTAGGGAGATGCATTATTAGCATACACAACACCATACACAAGACTTTACCACATTTGTTAATTATATCTTTACAGAAAATGCAGCTTAAATAAAAAAAAAAAAAACAAAAAAACTTTTCTAAAACCAGCAAACATTTAGAGTATATCACATGAATTGTGTGATCTTTAAATGGCATGATCGACTACAATGAACATTATGCAAGTACAGCGCAAGGCTTTTCTTTTTAATTAAAAACCATGTTGCGCAGCAATTAATCACGGGTGCAAATAGATAAACCCATTGTGACAAAAGTAATTTTAAACCATAAACATTAAAATAAATATAAAACAAGAAAGTATCACATTTTCTTATGGCAACACTAACAGATTTACATCAGAGCAAGTTATTTTTAAAACCAGGCTTAATTCATTTTAACTTACAAGTTATTTTACTTACATTAGATTAAATTTATGTTCTTTATCAAACTATACCATAAGAAAAGTGACAACCAACCATCCATCCCCACCTGTGCCCTATTCTCTCCTTGTGTTTCTTTAGAGCCTTTTCAGCTATTTCCTGTGAAGCAAACTGCACGAAGGCCTCCCCCGTACTCCTCCCCTGGAAGTCCACCGGCAATGTTATCCCATTTGGCACGATTTCCAACCCTTCAACCCAAGGACAAATAACCCCAGTGGGGGGGTAAACATTAAAATTTTACAAACCCAGACATTCTTATAAACACCAGTACACATTTAGGGCAGCAAAACATTTTACGAATAAACATGCAGTACCGTTCCTCCTTTCTACTCACAACTACATCAGTTTCCAAATATATTAAAGCATTTGCAAGTTAAGCTGTTTTCATTTGAATTAAAAATCCGTAAAAACCTTAAAAATTCTGCAATCTTTAAGAAAAAAAAAAACAAAAAAAAAAAAAAACCCACACAAAAACACTGGAGTAACAGTATTAAGCATCTTAATGTAAAGCGTTACCACCAGTTATATGTGCTTTATTTTAGTGAACCCAATTTAATTAAAAAAAAAAAAAAAACACAAATGAGGGTCAATTTAAATGTTTTTGGGATGAATGTCACATGCTTTCACCCAGGCTTAAAATTTCTCTAATACTATGGCTTCCATCTAGTGGCAAAAAATACAGTATTTTTTCTTCATTATCTCAAGACAGAAAAATATACCATTCTGGCCACTCGAGATGGAAGTCCTGGGAAATACTAGATGGAGTGCTTGTGACATTTGTCCAAGTAGCATTTTTTTTTTCTTTAGACCCAAAAAGTTAACATGTCCTTTAAAGTTTCATCCCTGTCCAGGATGGTTCATAAATAAAATTTCAGTTTCAATTAAAAACTGGCAGGTTATCAGCACTTAAGGAAAAAAGTACAAATGTCATCAATGAGTACAATTTTGAGTTTACTTTAGAGTTTAAACTATAAAGCTTGCTCTCCTATGTCAAAAGTGTTTTTTTTTTTCTTTAGAGATTTGTATATTTGCATAGAGCCAGTAAGGGCTCCCGCTAGTTGGCATCATTTTGTCTATTAAAATTGCTGAAATAAAAAAAAAAAAGGAAGTCACTAAGAGGGAGTGCATGGTCTTTAAGCCCCTATTCACACTGATGCGACTTGTCATGCAATTTGACTGGTCAAATCGAATGCAATGATCAGCAATGGAACTGTCCCACCAACTAGAAAAGTAGTTTCTGCAATAGGGGTACGATTTGCATAGAGATCTGTTCATGAAGTCGCACATATGTCTATGAAGTCAGACCCAAAGTCACACTGCCACTTGAATCCAGTGTGAACCAGGGCTTAAGGTTTTTTTTTTTTTTTTTTTTTTTTTACACACACACACTTTACCAGAACACTAGCACACGGGACACACTTCATTGTTCGTAAATAGTTTGTTTACAGTTGAAATCTTTGTTAATCAGTCTGTAAGGTAGGCGGACCCCTGCTTGTCCTCCTATCATAGATTAAGGGGTGGGGGGGGGGGGGGGGGGGGGGGGGAATCTAGAGACAGGGGATTCCTAATGTAAACAGCATCCAGAAGGACACACTTCATTGCAGTACAGATTGAAGGGGGGGGGGTAAGAGAAACAACCAACTCATGGAACAGCTTTAAAATTTACCAACAAAAGCCAGAACCACTATGGGGCACTGCATAACCTGCTGCTTACTTGCATCAGCCCCTATTCTTGCATGTTAATAACTAAAACCTACAAATGAAAATAATGTACATTTCCTATAACTATTACAAAAAGCAGTACCTGTGACATGGCCAATAAAATAATTTTGCGGTGTAAAAAAAAAAAAAAATCCACATACTAGGCTATCCTAAAAAGAAGGGTGTGAGTTTTCTGCAAATACTTAAAATGTTTTGGTAGAGTTGGGCTTTAATTTTTTTAAGTTCTGGCTGGAATGGAAAACAAGATGTATCCTTTATTTTCTGCTCCTTTTCAGTCCCAAAATAAAATTGGTAGTGGTAAAGCCCATACACAGATATTTATTCTAATTTGGAGTTCATTGTATGTTTGTTTAGAGCGCTTCACCAATTGTAGATTTTTTTTTTAAAAATATATTTGTACTGATACTATTTTCCATTTGGAAAATAGGTGTACAGCAGCTTATGACACTCTACTTTGTACACATTTTTCCATAGGTGCAGAGGATTTATTGCATTATACCTAATAAGTAAAACAGGTTTGTCTAAGATTTCGATCACTGTCTTGACTGAAATGGGTTGGGGGAGCCACTTTAGGGGAAACCGATGGCAAAAACTTGATTAGGAGGCATTTACCCACTATACAAAACCTGCATCTACTGAAGCTATTTAAAATATTAGTATATAAAAAAGGGAAATTGAGCAAATGCTTTGCGATCTGTCTTTTGCTCTTAGCAGGAATTACTATCTACAGTACTTTCCTCTGTTTAAGAAATGCGGTATCCTAAAATAGCACCATATATTCAGTTAAGGAATGCTAAAATGTTTAATGCAGGTTTAAAAAAACAGAACACACACACAAAAAAAGGGAGATAGTAAAAAGCATCTTAACTTGAAACAACAACAACTCGGAATCCATCTTTAGCAAGGATTCAGAGTACCAGTGTCAGAAAAAAAAAAACATTATGCAGGGAACATAAAATGTAAAAACTGTACTGTAATGTTGGCCAAAGTAGGGAGAGTGCTTCCCTGTAAGAATTAATGTTTTAAAAAGGTTGGCATTTACATTACAAACGCAAAAGAAAACTCCTATTACCAATGAGCCTTATTTACTTTAGGACTGTTACAGGGCAAGAGCCTCTGTTAAGCACAGAACATACCTGAAAAGAACTGCACAATTTCTTCTTTACTACAGCCAAAAGGAAGACCTCTTAAACGAACAAAGCCATCATTTGCAGTGTCAGGGCTGTTAGGACCAGTATGTTTCAAAACCCAGTCCATTTCAACATTATTAGACTTGAAAACTGTAAAAATACACAAAATAAGGTCATTATAAGCATGTGTATAGACATCCATAAACAAAATGTATCACTGATTATCAAAACTTGAACCAATCAGTAGAGCTAAAATGCACTAGGCAATTGCTGTCAATGCTTCGGATCACACTGCTGCAGCAATAGAAGTGCTGAAAACTTCACTACAGGATGTTGATGTTAGCAGCACAGGAGGATTTCTAACAAAATTTCTATATTTTCATGCTTGCAGCATTGATACAAAGCATGGGAAATTGTGCATGAATTGGAGGGATGTAGTGAGTGTTTTGCCTTTAGCAAGTAGATATGGGAACTGCCATTGAGCATCAACTTTTAAAACGATCAGCAATGGCATCCAACATACATCACCACAGGTTTCCTTTAGAAACCCTGTAACCATTATAAAAATTGTAGGGAAAAAAAAAAAAAAAAAAAAAAAAAAAAAAAAAAAAAAAAAAAAAAAAAAAAAAAAAAAAAGGTATTTTAAAAGCTTATTTACCGCGGTTTTCTTTGCATACACAATTTGATTGGCAATGTGCCTCTGAACTTGCAAGTTAAACACCCCAGAGAGTGTCAATGCCCTCCATATTTCAAACACCATACATAAGCCGCTTCTCCTTTGGGAATGACCCCTTTCACAAAGAGGAATCCTACAGAAGTGTCATTTAAAAAAAGGATAGGTTTATCTTTTGGGGGGAAAAAAAAAAGCACATTTCTGCAGAAAGAAAATAAATGCATCCTGCACTTGAGCAGGAAGAGAATGAATACCATTGAGAACTACAAGACATCAGACGCAATGGCTAATAGTAGTTGTAGGCATTCATTCACAGGAAACTGGATGAATGACACAGCCGAGTGGGTGGAGCCCTGTATGATCACATTATTTTAAAAGCGTGACAGCAGCTGTGGGGAGAGGATCCTAAAACAGATGTAACATGTTCCAAAAGGTGAACTTATCCCTCAAGTGACAGCTCAGGGTCAGCTAATATCAGTTCATGATGCAGCACCTAGCAACAGGCTCAAGGTTTTTGGTTGTCTATACAAGGCAGGCATTTACAGCAACACCCAAAGAAAAAAAAAAGGAACCAGCACTGGATGATCATATGACCACACCTTGAAGCAAAATTAAACCCACCGATTTAACAGTTTCCCAAAACAATTCAGGGCATGCCCTCAATACTGACAGTTACCACTGTGCTCATGTTAGCTTGCAAATTATTTAAATGGTTGGTATTGCAGCTGAACACATGCAACACTATGGTAACTGCAGATCAAAGATGCCAAGCTTCCTTGGCTGTAAAGGTCAGGAGGGGAGGGGTTTTGCTAGGATGGAACACAAGAGGAAGAGTTTATTTTATCTCAGAGTTGGGCTCCAATAACAGAATATAAAACTTTTAAAAGGATTTATTTATTGAGAACCATACAAATAAGCATATAAAAGAAATCTTCACTTTTGGGGTAAGACACTTTAAAATTGATACTAGATTCTGGTGAAAAAAAAAAAATAGATATTTAAGTATCTATTAAGGCCCCGTTCACGCCTGCACATTGTGAGTAGATGCAAAAAGCACACATTATCCCAAATGCAGCTAGGAAACGCGTGTTTTGCCACAAATCAAAAGTGCAAAGCTCACTGCCTGAAAAAGTATAAAAGTGAATAATAAATAATAGTAGTGATTACATCTGCCAGAAGTGGGCTCCTCGATTGCACAGAAGAGCCCGAAAAGGCATAGAGATGTCCCCTTCCTCTGCCTGTAGAAGCAATCCAACAGCTAATTAGCAGCCAAGATAGATTTTATATGACAGGGAATCACAGGCTGAAAAGATAACTGTAGTTGCACTTCATGTTCAGAATGTCATATGACACCCCATGGGTGGGAAGTGATTATACATGAATCCTCACCTTGTAAAAAAAAAACTATTCAGTTTAAAATAGAAAAAAAAAAAAAAAAAAAAAAAAAACTGTAGATCTAAAAACATAACTCCTCCCCCCTCTTTAATAGAAGTGATCACAATCACTCTGTTCTTGGGGGAGGAAAAACAGCAGGACACCAATCTATCCAGTGAAAGGCAGTGCAGGGGAGGTCTCAGGACAAATCTGATAATTGGAGCAGAGCATTCCCAGCATGGTTGGAGATCTGACCACCCTGTGCTCTTCTGCCTAGCGGAATCACTTTTTAAATAAGAAACAAGAGGGACTGGCTGAAACGCCAGGGATTTCACACAAAAGAAGGCAATACAAAGAACAGGATGCTTTTCCATACAAGTACGTGGTATAGCAGGCACATGTCAGGAGTGTGAGATGTTGGGTTTACATATTCTTTAAGGCCTCATGCACACTGGACATTTGATGCTGCTCTTAGAAGGTCTGGTGTTTTTTCCTGACTCTAAACATCCTCCATGTTAACCTATGTGTCCACAAACACTTTGGAGGTATTGAGGGACAGGAGGGAAGAGAAAAAAAAAAAAAAAAAAAAAAAAAGGATGAACAGGCTACATTTTTCCTGCACAGAATTGTACTGGAATGCAGTAACAAAACTACACGTACCTATTTAAATTAAAGAGGGGAAAAATTAACCAGAACACATCAAAAACGTACCAAAAAAAAAAAAAAAACATGCAGAAACACATCTGAACTGAGTTTCTATGGTGTGAACTGGCCCTGACCCCTGTAAAATGCATTTTTAGTGCTTAAGCACTAACTCATTTCAACATAGTAAATTATTATTCTGCCAATAAAATCCCACCTAAAAGCTGAATGCACCTAAAACACATTACACACAGTTACAAGCAGCTTTCCTGCCAGGAGCGTCCAGAGTACATGAGGCCTAATGTCATATTAATGAAGTTAGCATGATCTGAATATTGTGTGGCGATCATACGTAGAATGTGTGTGGCCGGATATAATCAGGTGACCCCAATATGAATGGCTACTCACCCTCCACATATCTATGGCCCATAGTCTCCCGGTCTTTTTTCAGGGCTAGGTTGATGTCATCCTCGGTTTCATACTCCACAAAGGCTTCTCCACTCGGCCTTCCCTCTCTGGTGTAGATGAAGTGAATGCCATGGGTACCATTTAAGATTTTCGATTCTGAAAGAAGACACGTGGGATGAGCCAGAGCCGACATTTTAAGTGTTAAAAAAAAAAAGTCTTCCATTTCCGCCTGAGCACACCCTCCCCACCGTACCTGAGAAGAATGATTCGATCTCATCGGCGGCGCAGGACCACGGCAGTCCCCGGACCTTCACTACGTAACCTTCCCCACCTTCGGACATTTTCTCTGCTTCTCACGGCTGGCCGAGACTGCAGAACACCACGTGACAACGGATCAGAACAGCGTCACAAAGACAAAATGGCGGCCGCGCCTCCATCACACACCGCTCACCAAACAAAGCCACAGCAACGGCCGGACGCACGCTACACTCATCTTGCAATTACCGCACCACTGGAGCTAGAGATCAGATACACCGCACAGAACACCTGCACCCACATACTTCATTATTACATACAGAAACCCCACTCTAGTATGGCCTCTCCCCACCTCAAATCGAGAAACAAAGGCGGCCACCTCAGTCACAGAGAATAGCGAAGTGCCAAGACTGTGCCGCAACCGACAAATACACCGAACCCTATATTATCTCCAACAGTCACAGCTTACCTGCTACTACACACCGCTCACCCGCTCTGTGAGGAGGAGGATCCAAACGCAAGTAATAATTGAAGCGCTGCACATGCGCAGAGTGATCTGTCCCGCCTCCTACCGGTGACGCGTTGGCCTGCTTTGTTCCCTACGTGTGAGCTCGGTCCTGTAGGGTGAGGGGTCTTTCTCCACGAGGGCTCTGTGCTGATATTTGGAAACAAAGTAATACATTACTAAACCTCTCAAGATTGTTTATAAAGCTAAAGAAAACTTACTTCAGCAGTTTCCACAATAGCAAACTGCTTGGAAGGTTTTCTTAGCCCTTTCACAATTTGCACATTCACATTTGTTAGGCTAATGAAACACATTGGACCAGGGTCCATGAATTCTGAGCACCGCACCACAAAATCTATTATTTCCTTAAATCAGAGCTCCACCCAAAAGGGAAGTTCTCCTTTAAAGACTGATCCCCTGCTCCGCATTAAGGATTGGCACCTTTGAGGAGCAGGTACCTGCTCCCACTAAGATCACCTAGGCCAGGGGCCTCCAAACTGAATGTGGCCCTTTGCATACCTTTATCTGGCCCTTGGGTACTATTCCTCCCACTAGTACGAGTCCCTTCAACTAACACCAATAATGAAGCAATAATTCCTTTACAAATGCCAACAGTGGGGAACTATTCCTCCAACTGATACCAATGATGGAGCACTATTCCTCCCACCGGCACCAAGGATGGGGCGCTATTCCTCCCACAAATACCAAGGATGGGGCACTATTCCTCCACGGATATCAAGGATGGGGCGATATTCCTCCCACTGACACTAAGGATGGGGCACTATTCCTCCCAGTGACACCTACAATGGGGCACTATTCCCCCCACTGAAACCAAGGATGGGGCACTATTCCTCCTACCAAAACCTACAATGGGGCAGTATTCCTCCCACCGACACCAACAATGGGGAACTATTCCTCCCTCCAACAAAGGGGAACTGTACCCCTCTCTGATACCAATGTTGGGACAGTATGCCCCTCTTTGACACCAACGATGGGGCACTAATATTCCCCCAAAGTGGAGTTCCACCCAAAAGTGAAAGCTTTGCATGTCTGCCTCCCCCCCCACCCTCCGTTGCCTAATTTGCCACCTTTTGGGGGGGGGAGGGGGGGGGGGGCAGGCACCTGGTTTTGGCAACCCCCGCAGCCCTCTGGGACATTTCCAAGGTCCCAGAGAACTGCAGCCCATTCACAAAGCACAGCACACTTCGCACATGCGCAGTAGGAGACCAACGGAGAGATGCAAGGCTTCATTGCTGGTTTCCCTTAGTCAAGATGGAGACGACAGCCAATTGAAAAATCGGTCCCTAAAATTTGAAGCACAGTAAACTGGCCCTTTGTTTAGAAAGTTTGGAGACCCCTGGCCTAGCTGAATTTGTTCTCCTTCCTCCCTCCCCATAGTCTTCTGGGACACGTGACAGGTCCCAGGAGACTATGGAACCATTTACAAAACGCAGCACTACTCGCACATTCGCAGTGAGCACGCAGCTGTGAAGCCGCAAGCTGTCACAGCCAGGTGCCCACACTGAAGATGCTGAGAATACAAGGCATCTGGTGCAATGGGCTGCGGGATCGAGGGACAGGTAAGTATCCATTTTTTAAAAGTCAGCAGCTACAGTTTTTGTAGCTGCTGACTTTTATTTTTTTTTTTTTTCACTGGAACTCCCCTTTAAGACCGGGTTCACACTGATGTGGTGCAGGAAACTTGTATTTATATTTTTGGGACATTCATGTTTATATTTATTTTATTCACATACCAATCACCAATAGGTCACAACAATTTTGTTAACACAATTTCTGGTAGTGATTAATTCACTGCACTATTGTTGTTGTTTGTCACATTCATTCCAGGTTATCAGTGCTTTGTGATTTTCCTTTATATTTCTTTTTTCACATTTGAGTTGTTCCTTGTATGTCACTTTTACCGTTAATATAGCTGTAATCATGTCATCACATGAAAAAATACTCTTGTATGGGAGTCCTACATTAATTACAAATTTACACTTTGGATTATTTCATATGCACTTTATATCTTTTATCACGGGAATTTCTTTGCGATTTGTGGTTTATGTGCACTTCTAATTTTTAAGTGTTATGTTCTTTATTATATGATTCACTGATTCATTTATTGATTCTTTCATTGTTTAATCACCGTGGAGTAGTGCTGCACCACCATTTTTTCATGATCTACCTATCCCAGCGCTCCTTCAGTGTTACCTATAACTCTGCCTCCTCCTCCTCACTCCCTCTTTCTGTTGGGGTCCCTCAAGGTTCTGTCCTTGGACCCCTTCTCTTCTCCATCTACACCTCCTTCCTTGGTCACTTGATAAACTCCCACGACTTCAATTACCATCTCTATGCTGATGACACACAAATCTATCTTTCTACCCCTCACCTCACCTCTTCAGTCTCCACTCGCATTACTAACCTACTAAGCGAAATATCAGCATGGATGTCACTCCACTTCCTCAAACTCAATCTTTCTAAAACTGAGCTCTTAGTATTCCCCCCAGCCCGTGCCCCCCCCCCCCCCGACTAATCCATCAAGATCAATAACACAATCATCTTTCCCTCCCCTCATGCCAGGGTGCTAGGTGTACTCCTAGACTCCCATCTGTCCTTTCAGCCCCAAATCCAATCACTGTCCAAATCTTGTACACTTCACCTCCATAACATCTCCAAGATACCGCCGTTCTTAACTTTGGAAATCACTAAACAACTTATTCACTCCCTTGTTATCTCTGGCCTTGACAATTGTAACTCCCTCCTCATTGGCCTACCTCATCGCAGGCTATCCCCTCTTCAGTCTATTATGAATGCTGCTGCCAGACTCATCCACCTTACTAACCGTTCTGTTTCAGCCACCCCTCTCTGCCAATCCCTCCACGGGCCTCCACTCAGTGTCCTCCATTCCTCTCTGCCGATCCCTCCACTGGCTTCCCATTGCCCAACGGATAAAATTCAAAACATTAACAATAACATATAAAGCCATTTATAACTCTGCCCCAAATTACATCACCGATCTTGTCTCCAAATATCACCCAAACCCTACTCTCCGCTCCTCGCACGACCTCCTGCTCTCTAGCTCCCTTGTCTCCTCCTCCCATGCTCGTCTCCAGGATTTCTCCAGCGCTTCCCCCATCCTCTGGAATTCTCTACCCCAATTTATCAGACTATCGGCTACTCTGCTCACTTTTAGGTGGTCTCTGAAAACCTATCTCTTCAGGGAAGCCTATCCTGCCCTCAGCTAATAATGGAATCTTCTATTCTTCCTACCAGTCCATCCCCCACAGTTACTACCTTTTGTACCACTAGCCCCTCCCTCCTAGATTGTAAGCTCCGAGGAGCAGGGCCCTCCTATCCCTCTTGTATTGAACTGTATTGTTGGTGTATTGTCTCCCAATATATTGTAAAGCGATGAGCAAACTGTTGGCGCTATATAAATCCTCTATAATAATAATAAATTAATGACACCCTTAAACAGATCGCAAAATGCAATGCAATTGCCAGAAATGCAATGCAATGCAATTCAGGTGAAGATAAAAAAAAAATTGTCCTGCACCTGTTTGGTTCGGATACAATGCGATTTGAGCCATACAAATGTATGGTTCAAATCGCACTGCACAGACATTGCATGTAATTCACACAGGCATCTGTGAATAAAAACAAACTGTGTGTCTCTGACTAAAGTTGATTAATGTCCTTGCTATAGATGTAGGCCATTTACTTACCTAATGAATGAAGCCTGACTGGAATATTCCCAGGACGTTGCTAAGTACTTCCAGGACATTGCTAAGTGAGGCCTAGTCATTACTACTATACTCCACCATCACAGGAGTGAGCTTTCTCTCTGATTCAGTCCCCCACATATGCTCTTTCTCTCCTCTCATGTAGTGGCTCTGATTTCAGCGTCACTCCCTTGATGGAGGAGGTGAGCAGTAATGACTAGGCCTCACTTTGCAACGTCCTGGTGGTATTCCAGTCAGGCTTCATGAGGTACATAAATGGCTACACCTATAGCAAGTGTATTATTCAACTTTAGTCAGAGCTGTCCAGTTTGTTTTTATCTACAGACACCGCTTATCTGCATATGCAGTTTTTTTTTGTAAAGGTAAACTATACCTTTGAGGGCCAGTTCACACCACAAAAATGCCCTCCTGATGCATTCTGGTTACGTTTTTGCTTACAGTTCACACCACACTCCATTCCAATGCAGTTTGCTATGTTCCAGTACAGTTCTGTACAGAAAAAATGCAGCATGTTCTACTTTTTTTCTGCACCAGAAACTGATTGCACTGGTGTGAACTAGGGCCACTGCAATACATGGAAAACACTGTGCATGCATTTTTGATACAGAAAAAAAATGCAATGGACTGCATCTGGTGTGAACTAGCCCTAAGAGCCAGTTCACACTACATGCGTTTCAGTTGTTTTTTTTCTGTATCCAAAACACACAGAAAGTAGGTTATATGGTTGTCAATGCAAAAACAAGGAAACAGAGGGTGCACCAGCCTAGTGCATTACCAGAGTTAACTTTATTGAGTTAACCCTTTGAGGACCAAGGGACATATTTGTCCCATGTTT